TGAAATTTATTGGTTTTTGGCAATAAATTTCCCATAATATTCAAACACCTTTTTCTCCAGAACCACTTGCGTTTCAAAAGCACAAATTGTGGAAGTGGTTATGGTTTGATTTTGTGAACAAATAGTTTTTATCTGTGACGAATGAATCAAATTCCTGTTAATCTACGCCTGAATGAAGTGATCCGTCTGGGATTTTCATGCACAAATCTAGTTATCACATGACTTAGATTCACATTCTATTAAAAGAACATGATTGGTGATGTGGTCCGACGGCCATATTAAATTGTAGGAAATGTTAACTTCTTCTCCGAAACCACTTGTTAGAGCCCTACAAAATTTGGCATACATCTCCAGATCTAGTTTTTCTACCACAGCTGTTCAAATCAAGTCTTTCTCAAAATTCAGATGGGCACCAAAAGCCATTTTCCTTCAAGGTGTGCTAGAATTGAATACATTTTGACTTATTTTATTTATCAAACTAAGTTACAACTTGTTAACACATGATATCTGCAATATGGTTTGTGTCCATGCTTTTGTGTGCTTAGGTCACATGATCTGGGGGCCATTTTGTTTTTTGGGGCAACTTTTGCACAGTATTGAAAAAATCTCCTTCTCCAGAACTTGCTGTGTCAAGTTATACTGTGACCCAAATTCACATTTTTTCAAGAGAAAATGATTGGTGAAATAGTTTGGCAGCCATATTGAATTTAGCAGAAAAATTATTTTTCTGTCAAAGAGTTACTTTAAAGCAATGCAAAAATTGGCACGCATGTTCATAGCTAGATCCTCTAGCTAGAATGTTTATTAACAGTAAGTAAATATCAAGATTGCCACTACCAGCCTGTTGCCTTCAAAATACCATAGAATTTTATAAATTAAGTGTTCTTGCATAACAAGACCACTTAATGTTATCTCACATATATATTATTCTTATTCTTATTATAGCCAAATTTACCACCCTAACTCCTCCCACAGTTTTTACACTACATAGACAGTAATATACCGAAACGTGCAGATTGTTCCCGATCGGATTGCTATTACTTTGTGGAACGTTTCGCCGAATGGTTCACGAAATATCGTCGTTTTTGTGGCAAAATAGGTCCCATAGGAATGAATGGCAAAATGTTCAAAACTAGAGTGGGAGCTGGCAAAAGCTGAAAAATCAGGACATGATTTCTAAACTGCCACCACTCCCTTATTTTCAAGCCCACCTACACAAATCCTATATCAAAATGTTCAGCTATAGTTTTCACAATATGACCATTTGTTTGCAACTCACGCCATCCATTGACATTCATTGAAACTCCACTCCAGCCAGCTTAAATTTAAAGGGCAATTTCTAAACTGTGACTGTGCCTTCATTTTTAATATTTCAGAGACATACTATGCATCAAAATGTAGGTCTTGTGATTCTCACAATATAAAGCTCTTCACTGTAGGATGTATAGTTTTTAAAATACAACCGTTTGAGTGGGAGCTGGCAAAAGCTGAAAAATCAGGACATGATTTCTAAACTGCCACCACTCCCTCATTTTCAAGCACACCTACACAAATCTTATATTAAAACGTTCAGCTATCCCTGCTGCCACTAAACATGTTCATGGCTAAGCCATAGTCCTGATAGTTTTCACAATATGACCATTTGTTTGCAACACACGCTGTCCATTGACATTCATTGAAACTCCACTCTAGCAAGCTCAAATTTGAAGGGCAATTTCTAAACTGCGACTGTGCCTTCATATTTCAGAGACATACTATGCATCAGAATGTAGGTTTGGGTCTTGTGATTCTCAGAATATAAGGCTCTTCACTGTAGGATTTATAGTTTTTAAAATACAACCGTTTGAAGATGGAAACTGCCAATATACTCTGACCTGTGCCAGTGATGTCATAGACAAGGCCTTTTGTACACCTGCTAATAATTTTATAAATGTATGTTTTAACCCCTTTAGACCGGAGGGCGTACAATTACGCCCTATTATAGGCGGCTCTAAACGCCGCCGGGCGTAATTGTACGCCTTCCGGTTTTTGCCTACTTACCCGGTCGCCGGTGGTCCCACGCCGGCGATCGCGGTGGGGGGGACTCCCAGGGAGCCCCCCGCGGCACGTCCGTCCTCGTGGAAGCCCACCCGGACATGTGAGAGTGGGGTCCTAGCGAGGACCCCACAATCACATGGCCGGGGATAGCTGGCTTCTGTATTGCCAGCAGGGGGGCTGCCTGTAATTACAGGTGGTCCCCCTGCTGGCTGGAAATAAAATGAAAATAAAATGTATTAGTGTAAAAAAAAAAATATATATACTTAGATCATATATATATATTATATATATATTATATATATATATATATATATATGATCTAAGTATATATATATATACACACATATACATACACACACGTACACCGTCTAGGTGTATTTTACTATTAATATATATATAATTAATGTCAAATTACACGTAGACTGATACTGGTTAAATATATATATAATTATTGTTATATATATATTTATATATAATATAAAAAAATTAAATATGTAAATACATTAAAAAATAAAATTAAAAAAATAATTTAAAAAATTAATTAAAAAATATATAGATGTGTGTTATTTCATTCTAACTGTATTGTGGTATTAATATATATATATATATATATATATATATATATATATATCAAAATACACATAGAATGAAATAATATATATATCTACATACATAAATATATACATATATATCACTATATATATACCTATATATAAATAAAAATATTTTAAAAAAATTATATAGATATACACATATAGATTCACATATGTATATATATATATATATATTTATGTAATATTTTTACATAATTAGGTATCTTAATTAATTACAATTAGCGGGACCTGCATGACAACCAATGCCGAAAGTAAAGGGAATTTAATTGGCTAGCACTATATTTAACCCTATAACTTTCCAAGACACCATAAAACCTGTACATGGGGGGTACTGTTCTACTCGGGAGACTTCGCTGAACACAAATATTACTGTTTCAAAACAGTAAAATGTATTACAACGATGATATCGCCAGTAAAAGTGACTTTTTTTGCATTTTTCATGCACAAACAGCACTTACACGGACGATATTATTGCTGCGATACTTTTTACTGTTTTGAAACACAAATATTTGTGTTCAGCGAAGTCTCCCGAGTACAACAGTACCCCTCATGTACAGGTTTTATGGTGTTTTCAAAAGTTACAGCGTCAAATATAAGGCTTGCGTTTCATTTTTTTCACATTAAAATTCGCCAGATTGGTTACGGTGCCTTTGAGACCCTATGGTAGCCCGAGAATGAAAATTACCCCTATGATGGCATACCATTTGCAATAGTAGACAACCCAAGGTATTGCAAACGGGGTATGTCCAGTCTTTTTTAGTAGCCACTTAGTCACAAACACTGGCCAAAATTGGCGTTTTTTGCATTTTTCACACAAACAAATACTAACGCTAACTTTGGCCAGTGTTTGTGACCAAATGGCTACTAAAAAAGACTGGACATACCCCATTTGCAATACCTTGGGTTGTCTACTATTGCAAATGGTATGCCATTATGGGTGTAAATTTCATTCCTGGGCTACTATAAAGTCCCAAAGGCAACGTAACCAATCTGGCGAATTTCAATTTCAAATGTAACGTGCTATATTTGACCCTGTAACTTCCCAAAACGCCATAAAACCTGTACATAGGGGGTACTGTTTTACACGTGAGACTTTGCTGAATAAAAATATGTGTATTTTATTGCAGTAAAAGCAAACAGTATTATGACATTGACAGTTAAAATGTCATGTAGAACTAAAAAAATAAAAATAAATCTTATTTTCTCCCATTTTTTTCATATTAAATTATGTTTCACATCTAAATATTTGATATTAAATGAAAGCCCTGTTTCCCCTGAATAAAATGATATATAATAAGGGTGGGTGCATTTACTATGAAATAGGTGAATTACGGTTGGACAGACATGTAGCGCAAATGCCAGGTTTTGTTTACATTTTGTTTCGTTCACAACGTGTACATTTGGCTCCGTCCTTAAGGGGTTAATGTAACTGTGAAGCACTTTGGGCAACAACGTTGCAATTAAATGTGCTATATAAACTGGTGGAGGCAAGAACACTTCACCCAGAAATTGTAGCTTTTCTAGTTTGCATTTATTTTTACTATAGAAATATATCACAATTTGTATATATATTATTTTTTAACAACAAAAATGCTAAAATGAACATGGAGTTCACAGGCCACAAAGGCAACAACCATCTTGAATTTTACATCTTTGTAATTTACTTATTTTCATAAAATACTTATGATTGTGCTTTACCCATGTCATTATCCTTGACACCTCTTTTAGTCAATTGGTTGTTTGTTTTGGAAGTCTTTTTTCAAACTATCGTCAGTGGCATTAGTGTCAAAAGTATTATAGGAATCAAAAGTCACAAACAGGGCTGTCTATAATATGAATAGGACCCCGGGCAAAGCCTTTTCTTGGGCCCCCTGGGCCCTGTCACTGCACCCTCCCTCCCCATTACGCCCAACCCGCAATCACACTGACAGACATACTGACACATACAGACAGACACATTAAAACATTCGCAGATACATACTGACACACACATACACTGACACAAAAATATATACTCTCAAACATTGACACACATTCAGACATACTGATACACACACATACATACTCACAGACACATACACTGACAGATATATTGACACAGACACACACAGACACATACACTGACAGGCATATTGACATACACAGACATACTGACATACACACACACACACTGGAACACAGTGAGACATACTGACATACACACACAGACATACTGACATACAAACACACAGACATACACACAGTATGTCTGTGTGTGTTAGTATGTCTGTGTGTGTATGTCAGTATGTTTGTGTGTGTATATGTCTGTGTGTGTGTGTATGTCAGTATGTGTGTGTGTGTATGTCTGTGTGTGTATGTGTCAGTATGTCTGTGTGTGTGTGTATGTCAGTATGTCTGTCATAGACACACAGACATACTGACATACATACACAAACAGACATACTGACACAGACATACTAACACACACAGACACAGACATACTAACACACACACAGACACACACACACAGACATACTAACACACACACACACATACAGATATACTAACACACACACATACAGACATACAAACACACACACACACAGGCATACTAACACACACACACACAGACATACTAACACACAAACACAGACATACTAACACACAAACACAGACATACTAACACACAAACACAGACATACTAACACACACACAAACACAGACATACTAACACACACACACACAGACATACTAACACACACACACAAACACAGACATACTAACACACACAGACATACTAACACACACAGACATACTAACACACACACATACTGACATACATTTAGCTACCCTCCAGGTTCTTACCTTTTTATGGAGGGTGGTTTCCCTGGGGTCCAGTGGCAGGCTGAGGCAGATGGGAGTTCTTCTCTGGAACTCCCCTGCTCCCTGCCTTCCTCCTCCCACGCGGCTATCTCCGGTGGGAGGAAGTGACACGCGGTACTCACTTCCTCACAGCCGGTACAGGAAGGGGCCCGGTCGCGCTGTTTAAGCGTCACAGCGCCCGACCAGGCCCCTTCTGCCACATGCCCACAGGGTGGCCCTTAGTGCATGGGCCACCCGGGGCCTCCTTAGTTGGCGGGCCGGTGCGGCTGCACCCCCGGCCACCGGGTATATGGGGGCTGCTGAAATCGTGGGGCCCACGGGGCAGCTGCTCTGGGGCCCCCCCAGGAGCAACTGGGCCCGGGGTAGCTGCCCCGTTTGCCCCGCGCTAAAGAGGGTCCTGGTCACAAAGGTTAGAAGCCACTTTGAATTTAAAATATTTTTTTATTTTACTTCTCTACATACAATAACTATACAAATGCTGTATTCATTATTTTATAAATGACCACTTCTATTAGTCAATCAGTCAGGTGAGTTGGCAGCCATTTTGAGATTGTCACAAATGTTTAAATATATTCCTTAACTACAAAATCAAAACTGCTTGTCAAAAACAAAACAAAACAAAAAAAAACATCCTAGTGCAAAAATAAGTGTTGTGTTATACTATCTTCAATATGGAGCCCATCTGTAATGCATTTGTGATCATATATGCTTATTTGCTATATCCATGTTCTTATGCTTGCCCACATCTATTGACCCTTGTAGCTATAGTTAGCTTTTAATTTTAAAATATATATATATATATATATATAATTTTTTTTTTTTTTTTTAAACAAATTCATCATGTATGCACACAGAATCACAAGTTATTAACACAGAATCGTGATACATTCGGCTACAATTGTATTATATAAATTTGCATCAAATAAGCAATTGTAGCCGAATGTATCACAATTCTGTGTTAATAACTTGTGATTCTGTGTGCATACATGAGGAATTATGTTATAGATTGCAAGTTTGTTTTTGCAGGACCTTCCTCACCTCTTGTCTGGGTCAGTATTATTCTGTATTTCAGCTACTTGTTGTTAGATATCCCGATTCTATATGGGTAAATACCAGAGGAATATGTTGGCGCTATGTAAATTATAATAACAATAATTGAAAAAAATTATACCTTCTGAACATGCACGAGGGGCACCTATGTGCAACAACGGTAAAAATATAACTGTCACTACCTCAAAAAAAGAGACCGTTTCTATTTAATATACATAGAGGTGTAGCTTTGTTTGAATATTGCTAAATACAGCTGTTATAGATTTTGCCTTTCATTATTGAGCCTGATTTATTGAATGCTTTCCTTTTTCCACAGTTTCATTAATGAGATTTCATACAGGCATTATGTCGTAATGCGTAGCTAGGACACTTTCCATGTCTGAAGCCACATCACATCTTTCCAAACGTGTATTAATGCCACCTGTAAATGGCTGATTAAGTAGGTTACACAATCTGCATAGTTTTATTAATTAGTTAATTTGAATAACCATTGCAGATTTGGTATTAACTCAGACACCTCTCTCTGTATTTCTCTAGGGAAGACTAGATGACGGACGTGTAATTGACAGCTCTTTATCGAGGGACCCACTTGTGGTTGAACTTGGAAAGAAGCAGGTGATACCAGGTAAGTGTCAGGATACCTGTTATGCTAGTATCTCCTGGGTGCCCACGTGGCATTATGGAAGGAGACAACACTCTCCGGTGTGCCTCCGATTCTTCCTTCAGCCATTTGAGGCTCCATCCTTTTATGATGTTATAACATTTATACATCACAGTGGAGAGGATTCAACAGTCTCTCATGCTTTGGGGGTGTGGCTGTAAGCCTAATGAGCCACAGTATAAAGTTTGCTAGGGCTAGGTTGCATGCCCTGTTGTGGTTCCTTGTTAGTCCCAATTGTGCGTTTATATTATTTCTGTCTTTTCTGACTGCTGACTAGGCTAATACTGCCTACTCTACTTTCTGGTATCCTTGACCCAGCTTTTGTCCCTCGCGTTTGTGCCCCCCTCCCCCCAGTGGTGCATCCTGGTTTTGTGTTGCCCTAGACAGGACAAAACTCAGGCTCCCCCCGCGCAATCCCCACCCAACCCTTCCCCCCCGCCCCACCTTCATCTACACACACACACAGTCAGACACACACACACACACACACAGTCAGACACAAACACACACACACACACAGACACACACACACAGTCAGACACACACAAACACACACACAGTCAGACACACACACACACACACACACAGTCAGACACAAACACACACATACAGTCAGACACACACACACACACAGTCAGACACAAACACACACACACACACAGTCAGACACAAACACACAGTCAGACACATACACAGGCACAAACACAGTCAGACACAAACACACACACACACAGTCACAAACACACACACAGTCAGACACAAACACAAACACACACACAAAGTCAGACACAAACACACACACAGTCAGACACAAATACACACACACACAGTCAGACACAAACACACAATCACTCACATTAACTTTTTTTTAATTTAACCCCCACCCCACCCCAACCTCCTTACCTTTGGGAGTGCTGGGGGGGGGGACTCTTTCCCTGGTGGTCCAGAGGCTGCCGGTCAGGCTGGGCGGCGCTGGCTGCTGTAGGGGCGGCTGGCGAGGGAGCACTTCCTCTGAGCGGTCTGCTCAGCTCCCTCGCGCGCCGCAGAGTGAGGCTGGGAGCCGGAAGATGACGTCATAGGATACGAGAAAGTAGAGTAGGCAGTATTAGCCTAGTCAGTAGTCAGAAAAGACAGAAATAATATAAACGCACAATTGGGACTAACAAGGAACCACAACAGGACATGCAACCTAGCCCTAGAAAACTTTATACTGTGGCTCATTAGGCTTACAGCCACACCCCCAAAGCATGAGAGACTGTTGAATCCTCTCCACTGTGATGTATAAATGTTATAACATCATAAAGGGATGGAGCCTCAAATGGCTGAAGGTAGAACACACACACACAGTCAGACAAAAACACACACACAGTCAGACACAAACACACACACACACACACACACAGTCAGACACAAACACACTCACATTAACTTTTTTTTAATTTAAACCCCCCTCCCCCCAACCTCCTTACCTTTGGGAGTGCTGGGGGGGGGGGACTCTCTCCCTGGTGGTCCAGTGGCTGCCGGTCGGGCTGGGTGGTGCCCAGATGACGTCATATTCCGGCTCCCAGCCTCACTCTGCGGCACGCACGCGCGCGAGGGAGCTGAGCAGACCGCTCAGGGGAAATGCTCCCTCGCCAGCCGGCCGCCCCCTAAAAAATGCCGTCCAAGGCAAATGCCTTGTTTGCCTCGCGGCTAATACGTCCCTGCCTCCCCCCAGAAATAATGACAAAGGTCTGCTTCGTTGATCCCACAAAAACAATTAGCCGATTCCCTAATTTTTAGACAAATCCTTTTTTTTTTTTTTAGGAGCAAAATAGGCATGGTGTGCGATTTTCAAATGCTTTTCCTGATAAGCTGATGGGAGTAGTTTGAGCAATTTGACAGTTGTTGCTATAAGCATCTCAGGTGAGGTCATTATGGGGAAGTGAGCAACTGTATTGTTGTGTAGTCCAAGTGAGGCCAAAGTAGGGAATAGATATGATAATGGAGTAAGAACAAGTTGCGGGTTGAGTAAGTAAATAATCTATGGAATGATTACAAATGTGGAAGAATAATGCACAATTACTGTAATGGATCGACGGGCACCCTGACTGGGTATTTCCGTTGAAGGATGCTCCTAGCACTTCCTGAGGGCTCCAAGCACTCCAGCCGACACCATAACCACCGTGCACTCCTTCAGAGAGCAGGACAGGAACAAGCTCTTACAAGAGCTTAGTAGTGATTTAGCAAGGGAGTATGACAAGCATAGATGGCACTCCAAATTGAGGGTGAAGTAGAACTGTCTGTACTGGCACATACAGCCTCTTTTATTCACATTCTACAAACATACTACTGCCCACAGGGTTTTGAAGAACAACCAATCAACACATTACAACACAGCTAACACTCCCATTCATTACATCAGAAATCCTCCCCTCTGCCTGTGATACAATTATCTCAACACAATAGACTAACTTAATTATGACAGGCAGGAAAATACAGTATTATAAAACATATCACAGGGACCCCAAAACATGCAATAACCCCATAAAAATATATAATCGGAACCGGGGGATCTGAGTGAACCACATATCCAAAATTCACCCAGATCCGTTCAGTAGTTTGGAAGATACGGTTTAATGCAGATTCCGCAGAACATATACAGGCTATATGAAAAATAATTACTGTTAAATGTGTCACCTGTTCTCTAGTTTAAAACTACTGAACGATGTCTTTGTGCACCAAATACCAGCAAGATGGCACCGTGTACAAAAGTAAAAACAGTGTCTGTAAGTTAAAATGGCCGCCATCCATTGTTCTCACCATGTGCTTCATCCATTGTTCTCACCATGTGCCTCTGATACATGAAATGGTGGCCACCCAGTAACTCCACAGAAACACATGGGGAACA